TTTTAAAGCAAATTTTTTCAATATCTTACTTAAGTTAATTCTCCCCACAAGTTCGCTCTCAATACAAAGGATGACTAGGTCATTCAGTCTCTCCTGTGTCATCATGCTTCTCAACAAGCTCTTGATGAGTTTTAGTTTGTTGAAAGATCTCTCAGCAGATGCTACTGTAACTGGCAATGTGCAGAATATTCACAGTGCAATACAGACATTTGGGAAAATGCCATCTAACTGGTACCTTTTTATTGTTTTTAAAAGTTGATATGACCCCATATCTTTACTAAAGTTTGATGCATGTATTGCCTTTGAGTGCCCCATTTCCTCTTGCATGGATTCTGAGAGATCGTCTGGGTATTTGTCCACTAATCTTGCACATGTAAGTTTGAGTTCCTCTTATGTCATGCTTCAATATTGCCACAGAACGCAGAACAATCTATTAATTGTGTTTGCACCGTTAAACCACTTCGTCAATCACCGAATCAATGATAACAAAGAAGACATTCCATTTGAATTCAGATTCAGGCTCATCAGAGCCATCACAAGGATTTTCTATGATGTTCTCCCCTTGTTCATCATCCTCCTCAATGACAATAAGTCTTGTTCTTTTTTTAACTTTCTGTTTTGATGGGAAATGGGTTTCAATTTCGATTTCCTCAGCAACCATTTTCACTTCATTTAAAATCTGTGGCCATTTCCCACGAAGATCTTCAAGATTGGTCAAGAGCAACTCTAGATTTGAGACCTCTACCTCCACTGTAGCATCTCTTGCCTGGATGATCTGATTTCTCCTGTTCATCTGTAGGAGAATCTTCAGCCACATTGATGACATAAAGATGCAAATGAAGGATGACACTTATTTGATTACACCATTGACTTCATTAATGGTTTTTGGCGTGAGGTTGAGAGACCGAAGTTTCTTTTGCATGAGTCGTATTTCAGCAAGATGAGCTGCAAATGGTCTCACACTTGTCACTTGGTCTGTCCAACGAGTACCTGACATGCCCACATGCTCCTTGAGAATAGCCCAGCGCTGAGGACTGGAAGAAAACAAATTGTAAACTGTTTGCACTACTCCAAAAAATGTAACTGCCTCCGTGCAACATGATGTAGAATCTACTTCACATAAGTTTAGTGAATGGTAAGCACATGGAGAATAAATGCACAGTGGATTAACAAAAACCCACCTAATATTTCAGTGGGTTTTTGGTTGGATTTTTGGACAAAAATTTTTGGGACGAAAAAGCTCCACATTTCTGAATTTTTACTCCTCCTGTTCATGATTTTTGACTACATGTGAGAGTGCTTTGTTAGTATATAGATTATAGGTACTTGTGTATTTTTCCTTTTAATGCACAAAACATTAGCTATTACACTGTTAAAGCATTTATTATAACTTAATAACACACGTATCTATTCTAAGGACATATAAAGCAAATAAGATAACATGTTATACAAAAAATGAATACTTGGGTTTTGGGGTTTGGTACTAATCCTGATTTTTTTCAGATGTAAACTTTTATAGTAATTTAATATTTCATCATTAAAAAAATGATAAATCACCAGGAATTATTTTTTATGCATATTTGTAAAGAAAATGATGAAGTATGCTGAGAAATTTTCAACTAATATTCAGTAGTAACTATATTGTAAAAATCTGGAAAAAGATATATTTTTGGAGTATCTATAAAAGAGTATAGCTATTCTATAATCATTTATCCCTTATCAATTCTGTTATATGTTATGAAACTAAATATATTTTTCTACTATTTTTATTTTAGATATTAAATTTTTGTATACATATTTTAATTTAAAAATTTCTGTTTTGCCTCAATTTGATCGACATCCATTGGTTATTAACGAGTTGGAAGAGTCACAAATCAACAGGAGATGAAAATGAGTAATTTACAAAATAAGTTAGGCTAAGTTAAGTTAAGTACAAAGTTTTTGTTGTTTTAGTGGCGCTTACTTTAAATTAAAACTTTAATATTGATACAATTAATAAGATACTGAGAATAACATATTGATAAGTGAGAACAATAAGATACTGCATTATTTAACAAAAAACAAATCATTCTTTAAATATGAAGTTTAACCTTGATGCTTAGCCTAATATGGATGTTATAATAGGCCTAAATGGCTAAGCATAAGCCAGTAGGCTGATTGGAAAAGTTAAAATCTTGGCTTTTAAGTCTTTAGACCATTTGTAACATTAAAAGAAAGCTACATTGCTACTAAGGAAATAACCTAATATATATGTAATTAAGAACAACTGATGATTAAACAATTACTTACATTTATTTGCATTGAACACTTAACAACACGGAAGTATGTGCCGATTGGGCCCTGGCGCATGGCGTCCCGGATCCAGAACTGCACATTACACAAGGTTTAGCAGGAAGGAGGTTGCTGTGTTTTAAATTTAGAATATTTGGCAGTTGGCAGAAATTATGCTGGAATTTTGGAAGGTGCGCTGGAAAGCGCTCACAGTGCACAAATCTCTCTCTAGTGCGAAATTTTTGTTTTTGACTTTAACTCAAAAATCTTTGATTTTACTCTCAGTTGCATTAGCATTACCAGCAGTTTTTGAATGTTCTATTGCTATAACTATGTTTGAAGGAAATTCCTTTATTCAGTCCAAAGTTATGCTATTTTCCGTTTTGAACTTGGCTTGGCTTGTACACTAATTTCACATCAGTTTTTCTGGTCTATGGATTCTTAGCTTAAGAGTATGCAAATTTTCAAAAAGTCGAGTTTAAAGTTGGGGCATTTTTTATGGGCCCCAGGGTAGTTGCCCCCCCTCTTGGTGGGCCTGACCACAACTATAGCACAATTAATGTACTTATGATCCCCTGAAAAACATTATAAATTTAATGTACAGGAAACAGACGTATGAAAACCCCAATATTAATGAAATAGAAGCTCTATGTATAATCTCTATATGAATTATAAAATGAACATTAGAGTGAAATTTCTCATTTGAATATACTCTTAATATATTCATAAAATGTATATAATATCATTTAGGTGGGAAATTTCACACTGTCGTATTAAATTCTCTAGTACATAGTTCAAATGTAAACTTCAAATCTTTTAGAGCACAAAAATCTTAAAACACATTGTTTATCCAGTAAATTAAAATAAACTCTTCAACAAATTTTACTCAATGCCAAGTTTTTGAAACTCAAAATATAATACAGAACATAATGTGTTGCTAATACATATCATAGTAACTAGAGTTAAAACTCAATCATCTGTAAACACAGTCTAAAAGTGTAAAAGTTATTAACACTGCGTGTATGTGTTACTTCATCCTTGCTAACAGATATTTTTGAATTCCAACTCATCTAATGAGACTAGAGCTAGTAATATTTACCTATCTATTTAAATGTTTCATTCTTTCCATCATCTTGAGAATAAATATTTCAATTGTAAAAATTGTATTTGTGCTAACTTAAGTTATGTGTGACTCTGAGGTCAATACTTATTTTTTGAGTTTTAATCACAGCCAAAACAAAGCAAAACTAGAAAAATAAGCATTCAAACTAATTTTTAAGTGACAGTAGAAACTAAATTATTTTACACATTTAATGATGTGGCTTTATTCTTAAAAAAACATTAACCTAATATTGAAGAGTCAAAAACTTAAGTCTCAAGATCTTTCATTCCTGGTCTTCACTGAAAATAGTAGTAACACTTTTTACAACATAATTACAAAAATTAAGATATTTATCAAGAAAACCAACATCTTCTGAGACAAATTAATATATTTTCTGAAGGTTTATTAAAATTTATGTACTTTATCAATTTCTGATAGAAAGTCCAGGTTTATATTTCAATATCCTTGAGAATTCAGTTTGCCATTCATCACACACATCATGATATTTCTTTTCTGGCGCAGTACTTTTCTTAGTCTAATTGCTCCTTAATAATTGTGAAATCTAACTCTTACAAAAAAGGATTGTATATCAGATGCCTTTTATTTATTATTTTGGCAATATAAACAATTGGATGCTGGACTGGTAATATTTAATATATCATTTTTGTGCTTGAATTCCTGACTTTACTCTTACAATCAGGCAAACTCAAACATATTCTACTCTTCCTTAATTTACTATCTTTACCCATAAATAAATAGATAAGTGAATTTTTATAGGCTTAAGAAAGTCAGCTAAAATTTGACTAATGAAGTTAACATTGAAGCTGGGGTCAAATCTAACCAATTATAAAATTAACAGGGTCAGAACTATAGAATTGTAGCTACTTGGCAGGTCATTCAAAGTTTATGAATTCTCCATATCAATATTACAATGTAAGTAATAATTTTAAATGAACTCACACAAATGGGCAATGTTTTTCACAGCCTTTCTGAAGCCACCAAGTTTTGATTTAAAGGATTCTCCATCTTGTCTGTATGAAAAAATAATACATACATGGTTTCACTGAAAAAAGTGAACCTACTTTGAACACATAAAACACGAAAAATGTACACACACACACAAAACCAAATGCCATACATGCTTTATAATGACAATATTTAGCAACACATTTTTCATCAAATAGCTACAGTGCAATATTTTGCATTATACAGAACTTCACTAATACAAACAACAATTAGAAAAAATAAAGGTACTAGTATAAAAGTCTGTGGTATTTTAGTTGTTAAAACTACCTTATCAAGACACACAGTGGTGTGTAGTGCTGCCAAAAGAACCTGATGGACACTCTGCAGGGATCACGCTTAACTATTTTTTTATTAGGAAGCCAGGCGGGCCCCTAAACATAAATTTTTAGAGGCCCACAAGCAGGTTTAGGGGCCAATCCTATAGCTCAGTTTAAAATGTACTCTACAGTGGAGGTTATAAGAAAAATCACTGAATTAAATAGATGTTGCATGAATTGAAAGGAAACTAAAATATCAACATAACTCAATTTATTTTGTTGTGAACTCGTATTTCATGAAAAAAAAAAGTCCAATCATTTCATTTTCACAGACCACTTTACTGATTTTTATTTCAATATGATCTTTAATTTCTCTCTAAAGCATGGTATAACAGTAACTTTTTGTTCCCCTTTAAAGTAGTGTCCATTAATAATCAAAATAAATAAATAAAAAAAAATTATGCATCACTGCCAGTGTAATCTATTCTTCTGCTCCCTTTTAAAGTAGTGTCCTTTCCTAATTCTTGCTTAATCTTCTCTCTGCCTCAACGATTTGGTTTGTTTTGAATTTCACTCAAAGTTACACGAGAGCTATCTGTGCTAGCCATCTCTAATTTAGCAGTGAATGACTAGAGGGAAGACAGCTAGTCATCACCACCCACTGCCAACTCTTGGGCTACTCTTTTACCAAAGAATAGTGGGATTGAACATCACATTATAATGCCCCCACAGTTGAAATGGTAAGCATGTTTGGTGAGATGGGGCTTTGAATCCAAGACCCTCAGATTGTGAGTAAACCACCCAAACCACCTGGCCAAGCTGGTACAGACAGCAGTAGGTCAAGAAGGCCACAGGTGTTAGGTACCTCCTCCTTAACCCCGGGGATGATAGCAGCCCATGGTTGGCCTTTTTTGCTATGCCTGGTGAAATTAAGTAATGAAATAGATGTGTAAAATTTATCAGAGCAACAATCATGATAATTGCATTATTATTATTCCTATTTTTAAATCATTATTTTGTGTTCATTTAAAGTTATTATTTTATATTATTCAGTGTGTTACTGAAAATTGGAATTGGGCTGATTATTTCATAATCGGGTGACAATTGGAATAGGTAGAATTTGTCAAATGTCCTGATCACAGTAAACCAATTGCCGAGAAATTAAAAAAACACCACCCAGACCACTTTATTCACAACAACAATCTTCTGATTTGTAAGTATGATTACAATCACGACCCTGTGCTTTTTCATTTTTCTACTGTCACAAAGCACAAGACATTATTAATCTTAAAATAAATTATCATCAGTAAAAATACTCTGTTTCTCATTTATTTATATGAGTTAATACACTGAACAAAAGAAAGGATAAAAAGCACGCTCAGCACATCACCAAGTACAAGCATTTCTTTACTGACTGTACATTAGCAAACGGTTAAAAACAGCACCCTATGCATAAAGCTAATACATACTGTGTGCTTAGCATTGTAACTTGACCACAACTGTGTTCCTGTATTCTTATTACATCTCATCCAGATAATCTATAGAATCCAAGATTGAACAATTCAAGTTCATGATCAGGTGTTGAACTATCTGCTCTTTAGTCTAGCCATTCCAAGCAGTTACTTGCTAGAAACATTTCTGGCTTGGCATCACTCATAAGAACCTGTGATGTTGGCCAAAACTTCACCTTTGTAGGTTCTAGGCAAATACCTGTCTGATATGCTCCCAGTGTTGTGTGTATGAGTAAGTAGATGTATTCAGGGACTCTGAAACTTGGACAAGTAGTCAGATCCTGGTCCAGGATACCTCTTGGCTTTAAGAGGCTCACAAATGCCCCATGATTAATGGTCTTTTTCTGTTGGTTCCTGTTGTCTCACCTGCTAAAGAAGTAGCTTTGACTGGAGTAGGTTATGCACCAGCACCACTTTTCAATCCTTTTTGGGTAGTCTTTACCAAGTGCCATTCCATCTTGATGACCCTCAATTATTTGTACTTCCCTTAAAACAATGTTTGTTTCTCATTTATTTACATGAGTTGGTACACTGAACAAAAGAAAGGTTAAAAAGCAATGCTCAGCACATTGTGAAGCACACCTATTTCTTTACTGACTGTACATTAGCAAACGGTCGATAACGGCACCCTATGGACAAAGCTACTGTACACTGTGTGCTTGCCGGAGATCTATGCAGACCTTTCCCGCAAAGTTCTTGGGCTGAAAAGCCATGTGGCTCCCGTTAGTACTGCACTGTGTATTAGCTTATTGTTTGGGGAGGTTGCCAAAGAGGGTATGACAACAGAATGGTTGGAAATTTGGAATGTCCCATTATTTTTCAGTAGGAGGTTTGTCAAGTGTTTGAATTGCACGTCACTGTCAGAGATGTCACTATGTTGAAAGTGGTAAACAGGTATATACAAATATTTACAAAATAAATAACCTATTGAACAGCTATGGAACATTCCATTTCATCATTTGACAGTCCTGTTATTAATGAATTTAATCAAAAACATCTCAGGTGAAAAAAAAAAGGGTTGAGCCTCATTTTGGCATTGGGGTTTAAGTGTTTGTAGAACCTAGGAGGGTCAGGTGCATATTTGACCTCTTCCTCTTGATTGTTATTTTAATTGAGGCTTGCAATCTTTTCTATTTTATGTAATATTTACCCTTTCCTTTTCAGGGCCAGGTCCATGAATGTTTTCTTTTTGTCGGCATAGGTGAAGCTCCAGAATGGGGTGACTTTTATTTTTTACTTGGTTTTTTAGATGTTTTGTTAATGGATTGTGTGGTATTTGGGCTTAAGAATGTGTGGAATGACAGGTAGGTGTTGTTTAGCTATTTGTTTCGGTTTCAAATATGTTTGTTTATGGTTGGCTTTCTGTGATTTCATTTTTGTTTTGTTGAATATTTGAACTATTAGGTTGTTTCTGGATTTGTTTTGTTGGCATTAGCATTTCTTGATTTAGTAATTGTGATCGTACTGCTTCTGCATAGGTGTATGTTGTAATCTGTACAGGTGTGTTCTGTGTTACTGGTGTTTTCCTGTTTTATTTATTAGAGTTTATTTCTGGGTGATGTGTATTTGTTACAGTATGTTTTGGTTTATTGTGCATATTGTACATTCTAGTTTTGATGTACTTATATTTAGGACATTCTTTATAATTAGCTGTGTGTGTTGTTGTTGGTAGTCACAGTATAGTGGGTTACTGTATCGTTACGGGCATTCCGAGTTATGATGGTCTCCACCACAGCCCACACCTCAAGGGAGAGATTTAAATGCTGCTGCAACGTCTACATATCACTGACAGTTGTAACACTGGGTTACAACCATAGAAGGTGTTTTTGCTTCTTCAACCCGAAATCTCTGATACCATAGTATAATACCCTCAGATATTATACTTTGGATGTCTGGCAATTGATGTGTATAAACCTTGATCATTTTTGCTGGTGTTTTTGTTCTACTTGAAATAATTTGTTCCATTATTGTGTATGTGATGTTCTTTTGTATCAGTTTGTGTTGTATTTGTTCTGTTTCTAGATAAGAATTTTACAGCAAATATTCATTCATTAGTTAGCCAGGCCACGTTTTTTGTTCAACTTGAGACATGATGGGTAAAACAAAATACACCACCTAGCTAACTAATGAATGAATATTTTAAGTAAAATTCTTATCAGTGGTATAAGTGTATCTGTCAGTTTGGCCACCAATTTTGATTTCATTCCTTTAAGTTGCACACCTAGTGTTTTTGATGAGATACGATTACATCTTGTCAATACATACCATCAAACCACAGCAAGTCAGAAAGTGACACTCGATAGCAACCAACATTAGCTTTATAATAGCAACATTATTATTCAGAACAGACCTATACTTTACAGACCAACCAGATTATTTAAAAAATATGGTGGTAGTTTTTCTTCTCTAATACAGTACTAATAACTTTATAGTAACACTATGAAATTTAGGTTAACAATTTCTTGTCATCATTCGCATGCACTCGGTTCAGCTGTATCAAGCATCGTTATTTATGTTAATTGCTTAAGCTAATATCACAGGATACTAAACGCTCTTTAATTAGGAGAATTTCATGTTATTTAGCATATTTGTGCTAAAAAAGTTGTCAATGAATAATCAATAATAATCGTCCACCAGTATGATTATTTTGAAAACTTGAGCTAGAAACTGCTAATTTAGTTTGCATGGCCTAACCAATACTTACGTATCTGCACATGCTTTCACCCTATAGTTTTGCTGCTCTAAATCAGCCAATTTAATCCGAATGACAAAAAATCTAAAAATGGTCCACTTACTCTAAGGTGAAGCTCTATTAAAAATTTTAGACCAATAGGTGACGTGACTTTTTGTGTAGGTGTGTATAAAAATATTGGTCAAACTTCAGTGGTTTTTGTTGAATAATTTTGCACGTGATTTATATTTAGACTAAACTTGACACCTAATTATAAGTTGTAAAGATCTGTCAATTTACCAAATTTGAAAAAATCCATAAAAGTTAAATACATTTATCTATCAAATCAAGTTTCTATATGTTTGGTGCAAAGAAAAAAAAAGGGAGAAAATTTAATCAAAATTGGAGATTTTATATTTCGTGTATTTCTCAATGGATTGGCTTGAAATTTGATATGTGAAGTAAGGGTCCAGTAGAGCAAATCCACTGAAATTATGTGACAGTTTGAATTACCACAGTCCATATTACAGAAAGTGAAAAAAACCAATAAACTATCATTCCTGTTA